CTTATTATATTTTTTTTAAAAAAATTTATTAAAATATATTTGAAATAAATCATTTTCGTATCTTAGTTAATAATTAATATTATTCTTTTTTAATACATTTACTTATTATATTTTTTTAAAAATTTTTTTTATTAAAAAATATTAAAAATATAACAATAACACTACACTGACACTTCCTAAACAGAAAATTGAAATGAATACTATCCTCATTCAATCAATGCTACCACCTTGCTTGCCTTTCCCAAGCCCCGCCTGTCTCTTCCCTCCCTATAAAACCCTCTCATCTCCAGAAATCTCTCTCACCCTTTTCTCGCCCACCACACACCTCAAACCAGCGTCGGTAACTAGGATAATAAAACCCACCAAGACCACTGGCATTTGCCGAGTAGCACGCAGAGAGATCCCGGATAGTACCTATCTCGCTTTGTATTCTTCGCCTGCTTGGTTGTCGCCGTCCGTTAAGATGGTCGTTGTCGATCAGTACTCTCTTGGAACTCTCTTTGCCTCTCTCTTCGCCTTTGCTCTTCTTCTATGCGGTCTGCAGTATAATATTAGGAAGAAGAAGGTCAAGGACCCGAAAGCATTCCAGAACCATACCCAGAGCTATCAAAGCTCTGACACTCCGGATACCAGCGCCGGTACTGACGTGATCATCGTTGGTGCAGGTGTGGCTGGTGCCGCGCTTGCTCATACTCTTGGCAAGGTGAATTCTGTTACCATTATTTATGTTTTACGTTCTTTTTTTTTTTTCTTTTTTTTTGTTGTTCTTTTTTCTACAGATATTCATTTCATTAGCTAAAAAAAAAAGCTAGTTATTTAATTTTAGTAATAATTAACTGAATAAAATTGGATTTTTTTTTTTTTTTTTTTTTGTTGTTGTTCTTTGTTCTACAGATATTCATTTCATTAGCTAAAAAAAAAAAGCTAGTTATTTAATTTTAGTAATAATTAACTGAATAAAATTGGATTTTCATGAGATTTGCTTCCAAATGATGTATTGCTTCTGGTTGCGTGTACGTAAAAAATTTTAGATGGTTGTTTTTTCCTGACTAAAGTTCACATCAATTTGGTGTTTACGTATTCTCTCGTAGGAATTGTCTGAGGTTTGTGGAGTTTTCTTTGATTACGCCATTAGCATGAACTACATCTACAGGGATTTGAAGAAAAGATCAAGGTTAAATCCTCAATTAGATCTCTCGATTTGGTCTTTGATGTAAATGAATCCCTAATTTGATATTTATTGTTTGTTAATTTAACTTTAAATTAGTATTTTTATTAAAAAATAATTGATATATCTATTATTTAATGTCAAAAAATCATTATTTAATAGTCATGTGTTAAGTTAATAACAAGACTTATTTTCTGGAGAAGGATTAACTTTCAAATTGGTAAATAGTAAGGATCAAATTAAAGATTTTTTTAGTTTAAGGATCAAATTAAAGATTCATATAATAGTTAAGGGATCACTTGGGATTTAACAAAAGATTAATCAATATTCGCAGTGGATTAGACTGCTGGATTGGGATTTAACAAAAGATTAATCAATATTCGCAGTGGATTAGACTGCTGGAATACTATGAGGATATTAAAAGTTATTTATGGTCTGATTTTAGTTACAAATCCATCATGATACGTTTTGCTGTAGGGTAAGACTTAGACTTACTCCAATTCATTTCATCATTGATGAAAATAAAATGTAGAACTAGAATCTTTGTTTTCTCTTACTAATTGCAGGAAGGGAGACGTGTTCATGTAATAGAAAGAGACTTGACTGAGCCAGATAGAATTGTTGGTGAACTGCTTCAGCCAGGGGGATACCTTAAATTGATTGAGTTGGGCCTTGAAGGTATCAATGGATATTGATGTACATGTACTCTTCTACTTGATGTATTTTCTTAGCTGCTGCTAAATATGATAGTGAAAATTATTTTGTATGGTTCAGTTTCTAGGGTAAATCTTGATGTTTTTCCTAGATTGGTACCACTAATAAAGTAATGGAACAATCTGTGCCTCATGGCTGCAGATTGTGTTGAGGGAATTGATGCCCAGCGAGTGCTTGGATATGCTCTCATCAGGGATGGGAAAAATACTAGACTGCCATATCCCTTGGAAAACTTTCATTCAGATGTTGCTGGGAGGAGTTTCCATAACGGTCGTTTCATTCAGAGGCTGAGGGAAAAAGCTGCAACTCTTCCCAAGTAATCATCTTGCTTCCTCTTAGCTAATTTACATTGGTGATTGATCTTCCTAATCCATGACACATATTGACTGGTTAATGGGGTGATATAGTGAATACTTCCTATAGAAAACTTTCTTTTATGTAGGTTTAGTTTGAGTCATTATTTATCTTTATGTAATTTCATGTTGTTTTTAGCGTGCAACTAGAGCAAGGAACAGTCACGTCCCTACTTGAAGAAAATGGAACAATCAAGGGGGTTCATTACAAAACTAAGGATGGCCAAGAAAGAAGAGCTTATGCTCCTCTAACAATTGTGTGCGATGGCTGCTTCTCAAATCTCCGCCGCTCTCTTTGTAATCCTAAGGTGCTGCTGCAATCTCCCAATTGTGAAGCATAATTAGTTCTCTCTTTTTCCTTTTGGCCATAAAGTAAGAATAATTTGTTTTTCTTTTGTTTTGCGCATCAAACAATCATCTACGATAATACCCTGATGGAGAAGGTTATGAATTGTCTGATGATCTACAGTAACCCCTGCAGGAATAGAAAATTGATTGTATGTCATTCTGTTGTTTGCCTGATTCCACAGAGAAAGTGATTGAACCATTTTTAGCTTTTCGCAGGTAGATGTACCCTCTTGTTTTGTTGGCTTGATCTTAGAGGACTGTGAACTCCCATTTGCAAATCATGGGCATGTTATTCTAGCAGATCCTTCACCCATCTTGTTTTATCCAATCAGTAGTACAGAAGTCCGCTGCCTTGTTGATGTCCCTGGCCAGAAAATACCTTCAATTGCTAATGGTGAAATGGCCAATTATTTGAAGACAAGGGTGGCACCACAGGTACCTATTCATTTTACTCCGAGATTTTGTATTACTTAAAAAATATGATAAGTAGTGCTCTTGTTATCTTGGTAGCTGTGCTGTAATTATACATGTTAAACGACTAAGAATCTTAATTTTGCCACTGCCTGCCTCACCTTGATCTAATCAAGATAGTCTCTCACAGGTTCCACCTGAGCTTCATGCCGCCTTCATATCTGCAATTGATAAAGGCAACATTAGAAGCATGCCAAATAGAAGCATGCCAGCTGATCCCCATCCTACTCCTGGAGCCCTTCTAATGGGTGATGCCTTCAATATGCGTCATCCTTTAACTGGCGGTGGAATGACTGTGGCCCTGTCTGATATTGTTGTTCTAAGAGGTCTTCTTAGGCCTCTGCATGACCTTAATGATGCAGCTTCCCTGAGCAAATATCTTGAATCATTTTACACATTGCGTAAGGTTAGTTAATTCTTATGATATGTTGGTGTCTTAGCAATCATTTCCTTTTCTCCCTTTGAATTCACCTTATTGATGCCCAATGAATTATTTTGTGCGTCTATTTGTATCAACTTATATTCTGATTTGAGTTCAATTCCAATGTTTTAGAAAGGATCGCTTTCGCTGTTTGATCATCTAATGGTTTTTGTCAGTGTTTCTTTCTCCAAAGTTTATGTTGATGGTCTAATTCTATTGCATGCGCACTATAAAAATTGACCCATGATGATAGGCTTGTTGCTGCCACTCTAATGTTTTCTTTCCAATTTCAGCACACTCTGAAATTATATGCAATGTATTTGTTAGATGCATGTTACTTTCACAGCATTTCTGTTTTACTTGTGGCATTGTGATCTTTTCAGCCTGTTGCATCCACAATAAATACCCTGGCTGGTGCCCTATACAAGGTGTTTTCTTCTTCTCCTGATCAAGCAGGGAAGGAAATGCGCCAAGCCTGTTTTGACTACTTGAGCCTTGGAGGTATCTTTTCATCAGGACCAGTGGCTTTACTTTCTGGTCTAAATCCTCGTCCGATCAGTTTAGTTCTTCATTTCTTTGCTGTGGCAATATATGGAGTTGGCTGCCTGCTAGTACCATTTCCTTCGCTTAAACGAATATGGATTGGAGCCAGGTTAATATCGGTATGTTTCCTCACCCTGCTATTCAGTGCCGATGTTGCTTTTATCCCCCACCCTCTTTCCGTTTCCTACTCGTCTTCTGTTCTGTAGTTCCCTGAAACCAAAGATCCCTCATTGTAGAAATAATCACACTCGTGCTAGTTAATTTTGTAGTTTTGCCAGAAAAAAGAATGTGAATGTCACACACACACACAAAACACAATACTTAGCAAAATATATAGTCTGCGCTGTAGCTTAAAGTGAACCTAGAATATTATTACCTTTGCCCTCACATCTAGTGAGCCCCAAAGTCTAACACGGTATGATTTTTACCTAAACAAAACCAGATACTCAAAAAGGGAACAGTAATGAGAAAAAAGTCTTGGTGAGTAATGCTTTTAGTCTTGTCATCGACCACAGTCCACAGCATCAGTGAGGATGGTGCTGGAAGCACAAATTTCTTTGAATGTTATATTGGATGTTTCTTCTTTTCTGATCATATTTCCCCTTTTTCCCTGCTGCAGGGTGCATCTAGTATTATTTTCCCCATAATCAGGGCAGAGGGAGTGAGGCAGATGTTTTTCCCTGCCACAGTTCCAGCAGTATATAGAGCTCCTCCTGTTAATTGATATGTTCCATCGAGGTACTTTCAGAGTTTGTAGCTCAACCTAAGAAAAGACTCTGGATGCATCCTCTTTGCTTAGACTGATGAGTTCATATTAAATGCGTAGTTCGTCGAAGGAGATCTTGTACACGTTGTAGGATTGAGAATTGAGATAAGTGGAAACTGCTCTTTAATTGTATGAACAACTATCCCACCGAACTTCTGGAATATAAATAGAACTTAATAAACTTGTGTCCATTTACAACAAGCCTTGTTCCATTGATGCGCTTTCCAGATTATTTAAGGGCGGATGTTGATGCAATCGATTAATGAATGATGGTAGTTACAGGTGGTCCTGTTCAGCACAAAGCTATGGAGCTTTGCAACTCCAGTTCAACAGGATTGATCCACTATGAAATTTAGTTTACACAGCCCCAGTCTCAAATGCATACTTCACTTTCATTTTCTACAGCCTTTTTTTTGCACGGCAGTCATGTTCAATAGCTTGTATTAGGTTTCATGCTCAAAACAGATCTACGAACTGATCCAACTGGATCCTGGATCCTTCATTACTCCAATGTTCTTCATCATTTCCCTTACCTTAGCAGCTTCTTCCCATTGACCTGCAGATGCATAGATATTTGACAATAACACGTAAACTGATGGATTCTCTTGTTCTGTTTCAAGAAGAAATCCAGCAACAATTCTTCCCAGCTGTAGATTTCCATGAGCTGCACAGGCGCTGAACAATGTCCACCAGACATTAGAATGTGCTTCACTATGTTGGCTGTTTAGTATTCTTTCGGCTTCATCAAGATGCCCTGCTCGGCCAAGAAGGTCAACCATACAAGAAAGGTGATCTTCTCCAGGCACGACACCATAATCATTCACCATAGAGTTGAATATCCAAGTTCCCTCATTGACTAAACCTGCATGGCTGCACGCAGAAAGAACAGCAGTAAAGGTGGCCTGATCTGGTATGATCCCGTTTGCATCCTTCATTGCCTCAAAACAACAGATAGCTTCTTTTCCTTCTCCATGCTGTGCGTAAGCAGATATTAGAGCATTCCAAGAAACTATGTCCTTGTTAATCATCTCACTAAACACTCTTGAAGTACAACTTAAAAACCCACATTTTGCATACATAGTGATCAGGGCATTGCCTAAAGAGGTTTCTGAAAAGAGATTATGCCTTAGGATGTAACTATGAATTTGTTTCCCGTGTGTCAAGGATGAGAGACTAGCACATATGCTTAAAGAAATGCTAAGAGTATATGCATTTGGCCTGAGTTTTGAAATCAGCAGCTCAGCAAACTGCTCTAATCCCTGCATTGGAAACCCATTAAGAAGGAACCCAGAAATGATAGTGTTCCAGGAGATCAGGTTCTTGGGAGACATTTGAAATAAATGATAGGCCTGCTTGATCTTCCCATGCTTGGAATATGCAGAAACCAATGCATTAGAAACTTGGATTTTAGAGATGACCCCATTTTTAAGTACAAGGCCTTGAATCATCTTGGTGATTTCTACAAACTCTGAGCTTGACAATAAACTTCCATAAGTGAACTCATCTGGTTTGATCCCTGCCCTCTGCATTTCTGCATAGGCCAAGATTGCTGATCTGTCAGAGTTCCCCTGAACATAGCTCGATATCATAGCATTCCATGACACAAGATCTTTCTCTTCCAATCTATGAAAAACCATTTGAGCTGCGCTCAAATCCCCAAAGCTGGAATACATGGTAATGGCTGCATTGCTCACAGAAGTACAACCTTCCAAACCAATCTTGATAGCCTGGGCATACAATTGACATCCAATTCTCGGACATGAACATGAACTCATTAAACTCACATAAGTCAGTTCAGTAGGACTCATACCATCCTGTAGCATCTCACTGAACTTTATAAAACCCTCTTCCATTCTACCCATGTTTATGAAACCATCTATCATCACATTAAAAGTAATCTGATCACGCACTGCAGTTTCCACTTGTTCAAATACAGAACACGCACCCACATCATCTTCACAATTGAAATACATAGTAATAAGAGCATTAACCACAGAAGCTCTAGCCAAGAACCCAGATTTAACCACCAACGAATGTATCTGCCTCCCAAAATCCACCATCTCCCAAGAACACACACTCAAAAGACTAGCAAAACTATAATTATCATGCCTAAAACCCAAAGAATGCATCTCCTTAAATAAATCAATCCCAATCTTTTCATACCCATTTTCCACACATCCAGTAATCATTGCGTTCCACACTGCCACATCCTTTTCAGGCATTCTATCAAACACCTCGCAGGCATACCCGACATTCCCTAACTTCGTACAGGAAGACAACAACGTAGTCCAAGAATACACATCTGGGTTCTCAATCTCCTCAAAAACCCGTTTGACAGAAACCAAGTCCTGCCCTTTCGCGTACAGAGAGAGAAGAGTGTTCGAGACATGGGAGTACGCTTTATATCCGGCCCGGATAGCATAGGCGTGAAGTTTGTTTCCAAAGGCCACATCCCGCAGTTTTGCACAGGCGGTGAGTGTGGTGGAGAGGGTGTACTGGTCCGGCTTAAGGTGGAACTGAAGTGATCGAATTTCATTGAACAGATAAAGGGCATCTTCGTAGTGGGTCGAGCGGGTTAAATCTGCAAGCTGAGAATTAAGCTTGATGAGTTGCGGTTCAATGGAGGTTTTCGCTTTCGAGTAGAAACCAGAGAGGTTTCTCATCGGTCAGCCGCATCGCACGTGCGAAGAGCGGACCGGTTTTCATTTCACACGTCTTCCCTGCCACTTGAACGCACCGTTTCGTTCTTCTCCTCCCCTTTTACGGCACCGTTCCAAATTTTCCCCCCGAGAAAATGCGAGAAAATGCGAGAAATTCCAAGAAGATGGAAAGGAAAGTTGAGTTTCTGCCGATACAGATTATACCCACAAAGACAAAATGCAGAGATTCTCCTCAAGAATGCTTTCTCTTCTTGCCATACGCCCTTATCATCTCTCGAGTTCCTCGTATTCAGACACCCTTTTTAACCTTAAGCACAACAAACAAACACACAGTACTGCCGGGTTCGACAGGGAGGATGTCAGAAATAGCTATCTTCCTTCAAGTCAAACAAGAACTGGATTTGGCTTAGTTTGCCTCGATAAAGAAGATAATATTGCTGACAATCGCGACTCCGATGAGTTTGCTGCTGATGTTGAGAAGGTTTACAGGATTTTGAGGAAATTCCATTCCAGAGTCCCAAAGCTAGAGCTCGCTTTGCAAGAATCCGGTGTCGTTATGCGGTCTGGTTTGACAGAACGCGTCCTGAATCGTTGCGGGGATGCGGGTAATCTTGGGTACAGGTTTTTTGTGTGGGCATCGAAGCAACCTGGGTATAGGCATAGTTACGAAGTGTATAAAGGTATGATTAAGGTTTTAAGTAAAATGAGGCAATTTGGTGCTGTTTGGGCTTTAATTGAGGAGATCAGGAAAGAGAATCCTCGGTTGATATCACCTGAATTGTTTGTTGTTTTGATGAGGAGGTTCGCCTCTGCTAGAATGGTGAAGAAAGCTATAGAAGTGTTAGATGAAATGCCAAAGTATGGTTGTGAGCCCGATGAGTATGTTTTTGGTTGTTTGTTAGATGCTTTGTGCAAGAATGGTAGTGTAAAAGAAGCAGCCTCACTTTTTGAGGATATGAGAGTGAGGTTTAAGCCAAATTTGAGGCATTTTACATCATTGTTGTATGGTTGGTGTAGAGAAGGGAAGCTTATGGAGGCTAAATTTGTGTTGGTCCAAATGAGGGAGGCTGGTTTTGAGCCAGATATTGTGGTGTATAACAATTTGTTAAGTGGGTATGCTCTGGCTGGGAAGATGGCAGATGCATTTGATTTGTTAAAGCAGATGAAAAGTAAAGGATGTGACCCAAATGCAAACTCATATACCATAATGATTCAGGCACTTTGCAAGCTTGAAAGAATGGAAGAGGCAATGAGAGTCTTTGTTGAGATGGAGAGGAGTAATTGTGAAGCTGATGTTGTGACTTATACTACATTAATTAGTGGGTTTTGCAAGTGGGGAAAGATTAATAGAGGTTATGAGATTCTCGATGACATGATACAAAGAGGGCATATGCCAAATCAGATGACTTATTTGCACATTATGTTAGCTCATGAGAAGAAGGAAGAGCTTGAAGAGTGTACGGAACTAATGGAGGAAATGATAAAGATTGGTTGTGTTCCTGATCTTAGCATTTATAATGTAGTTATTCGGTTAGCTTGTAAGTTAGGGGAGGTGAAAGAAGGTGTTAGAATTTGGAAAGAAATGGAAGCCAACAGGTTAAGTCCAGGGGTTGATACCTTTCTTATTATGATACATGGGTTTATTGGGCAAGGTTGTTTGGTTGAAGCTTGTGAATACTTCAAAGAAATGGTTCTGAGAGGCCTTTTTTGTACTCCTCAATATGGTGTTTTGAAAGATCTGTTGAATTCTGTATTGAGAGCTGAGAAGCTTGAAATGGCCAAGGATGTATGGGATTGTATTGTTACTAAAGGATGTGAGCTGAATGTGTCTGCGTGGACAATTTGGATTCATGTGCTTTTCTCCAATGGGCATGTGAAGGAGGCTTGTTCATTTTGTTTGGATATGATGGATGCAGATGTGATGCCGCAGCCAGATACCTTTGCAAAGCTCATGCGGGGTCTGAGGAAACTGTATAACAGACAGATAGCAGCCGAGATTACAGAGAAGGTAAGGAAGATGGCTGAAGATAGACAGATCACTTTTAAAATGTATAAACGGCGAGGGGAGAGGGACTTGAAGGAAAAAGTCAAGGCAAAGACAGATGGAAGGAAGAGGAGGGCTCGTCGACGTCGATGGGGTGGGGGCCATAATAGAGCTAAAGTTTTGTAGTTTGAAACTTTGAATAAGTGACTTGTGAAATAAAGAAATTTAACTTTCTACTGGTGTGGATGTGATTAATTTTCACCCACTGTTTCAATTTGCATTTGTCATCAAATGGAAAAGTAGCACTCTTAGCTCTTTTCTCTGGAAGTGAACTTTTTATGCTATCTGATGAATGAACTCTGATGATGGGTTGGCCAAAGAAAGAATCAGAACTCTGAAGATGGGTGCAATGGATGTGGAAAATAGCTGCTTCAGGTAGCTAAGTACTTTTTCTCACTCTTATCAGGCTCAATTTTTTTGTTGTTTGTTCTCTTCAATACTTTAGGTAGGCTTCCTTCTAGTTGAAAATTTAAATAAATTACCTGGCTTGGCTGCAGTTGTGTACGTATTGCCTTGGAAAGTAGTATTTTTTACATTTAAATTGTGAAGCACATTTTAAACCACATATAGCATCCCTAATCAGGTTGTGATGTATACAGCTGTTATAAAAAAAATTAATTCCAAATAACTAGTTGCCTTCTGATTTGCATACTCTAGCACTTTTATTCTTTATATGTTCAGAAGGGCATCAACTACTGTGACTCATCTAGCCAGTGGCAAAAACACTGTTCCTCATGGGACTTCTTTACTTTATGGCAATTTTATCCCTGCCTGGTCCCATCTTCATTAAAATAAAAATGATTTCCTCCCTTTTGAGACCCTTGAAGGCTCAACCATGTATAATTCCAATTTTTCTACCATACAAATAGGTCTTTAAGTAATATCTTATGTCAAGTAGCATGAAATAGGAAAGTAGCTTTGGCATTGTGAACCAACAATTATTCATGTGTGCTCTTTTCAAGGGGAAAGAGATGGCCTGGCTTGATGATTCTTCCAGCTGTTGATGGGAGTAATATTTGTAATTATGATTGTAAGGATTTTTGCTTAGGAATTTGGATGTGTTATTTACAGCATGTGTATTTAATGGAAGGTGATGTAATGAAGAATAAATACCCTTTGACTTTAGTTGTGCTGGTATAGGTACCATGTCCATTATGTGAATAAATTTGAAAAGATAACATATTCTCATACAACAATGCTGCACTTACACTATGCTTATGGTTATCAGAATCAGGGAGACTTAAACACCTGGATTTTTATCTAATGAAACTAAGACATCCTGCTAATTTTGACTCGCTAATAATTCTTTACTTTGATGCTATTATGAATGCTGTGAGTTGTTCATCAATGGCTATTGTTTCAGGGCCCAACTTCAATGATCATCCAAGGAAGGAAGCAACGTATATAATAAAACTCAAGAGACTTTTCAAGTTGTGGCCTGTGGGTCTTCCAGCTTGGTAAGCTAAATCAAATTCTTCACTTACGAGTCTGTTGTACTGAATCTAGGTCCGTAGTTGTTAACTGTCATCACGGAGATCTGTCTCGTCAAAGATCTCCTCCTGCATGGACGAATTTCATCGAGGTATTATTTTTTGAGAGTAGATCAGTATATGCAGGAAAATAACTAGGATAGTAGACATGGCTAATTTAGCACACCTGCAATAGCTCTTCAATGACATCTTCCAATGTTATAATGCCAATAGCTTCTGCCTCTCCTGTGGTCAAGGGTAGTGACGTATCATTGAAGTGCAAAATCTCTGAATCGAAGTCCTTACTCCATTTCTTGCTCTTGGAGGCTCCTTTCTTTGCATTGGCATCTAAACTCTTCCACTTTTTAAATGAATTCTTGCGTGCTAAACATTTCCCTGGGGGATGCTTTTCACCATCAATGTCTACCCTTACATCTCTGTCTGAATGTTCACTGGCTTTATGCCCTGTTTCACTCTGTTGTGTTACAACAACAGCCATATGGCTGTGACCTTTCTGAAACTCATTTAGGATGTCATATAATGGCATTGTCTCAGAAACCCTAGCACACAACGTGAAAATTCATGATTCCTCTATATTTTGCCTCAGTTATTAACCTTGCTTATGGCATGACAATACATATAGTTTTAAGATCAATATTAAGTAGGTTAAACCCTGAATTTGGTCTCTCAACTATTGTAGGGATCCTTGAGTTGGTCCTTAAATTAAAAAAATCCTTGATTTGGTCCTTAAATTTTTCAAATTTGTCTCTGAGTTGGTTTTTTTGTCAAAAAATAGCTGATATGTCCGTTATTTGACAGCAGAAAGCTGTTACTTTACAGCTTCATATCACATTAATAACGTGACACGTCAGCTATTTTTGAATGGAGGGACCAATTTGGAGCCAAATTCATAAACTTAGGGACTGAATCAGAGATTTTTTTAGTTTAGGGACCGACGCAGGGATCCATATAATAGTTGAGGGATCAAATTGGGGCTTTAACCTATTAAGTATTAACTCTTGCTATATCTGTATAACAAAAAATACCTAGGAATCTTGCGAATGGTGACATTCTTTATAGGTACTTCATCTTCTGGATGTATGGTTAATAAATTCTTCACCTAGAAATAAAACAAAACTATTAGCGTAGAGTACGTAATAACTTCAGGCGCTAGTAGAGACACCAGAAAGCAACCTTAATTTGACTGAAAGATAAAAAGAGAAGTAAAAGAGATGAAACTGAAGTAATAATTATTAAATTGCAGGCTTGTGAAATAAGCTGATGGCTATAAAATGAGTTGTCAGAAAATTCCAAGGTAGGTAACTAAAATCACCAGTATAAGACCAATTATCTTTCTTGGATGCTCGTAGTAAACTGGTACCCTGCTGTGCCCTTTCTGCAGTATTAACTTCATTAAATCCCTGCATTTTTTTCCATATGCAAATGTATAGTATATCATATGTCAGTGATTGCTGCAAGTATACTTACGCAGGGTATCTTGTTTTACTCACTGAGTTATCCATACCTGTCCAGTTTGGCATTGATATCAATTGCAAATGTTTCGGATATAGGTGTCATCGCATCCCTTGCTGTTTTCTCAGAGAGTTCAAGTGCACCTGCAATAATTGTTGTCTCATCATGCGTCAATTCTCCCCCTTTGCCAGCCTAGAAACAAGTCAGAAGATTATGAGTTAATCACTAGCTGCTTCACAGCTCAGTCAATGGTTCCTCTGGAACCGAAGGTAATTTGAGTTTGATTCAAGTTTGGAATACTTCTTGTTTACATTCTTACGATCAATAATACCTCATTGCTATGCAAATCCACCAGTGTTTTCAACTCTGCACGTCGGAAAAGTGCCTCATGCCCTTCCCCCAGCAAAAGGTCTAATAGCTGCAGATCATAGAACACTAACAATAGGTCATATATAGCCATAAACAGGTGGGGCTTGTCAATTTGGTAAGTGAACAGAAAGAGAGCTACTCATGATAATTCGACCTTGCTTATTGGATATGCAACTGGAAAACAAATCCAAACCAGAATTCGAACAAATGGGGCAACTTTTGCACCAATTGCCAAACCATACCGAGAACAAATAGCCTGGGGTACTATCTACATAGAAAAGAAGCAAATGTGAAAAAGAGAGCAACTGGGGATAGAAAAACAGGGACGGTTGCCTGAAGCTGACAAAGAACTTACCTCACCAAAGAGAAGTATCAAGGTCACAGAAATCAGAATAGCACCCCAAGCAGTTACCAAGCTATCCAGAAAGATGGGAAGGGTCTGTTGAAACAATATATAGAAACATGTTAGGTTTTACCCAAGTAGAAGTGAGCAGTTCATCCTCCAGAAAATTTGATACGTACCTCCATAGCGGCTGCGTTGCAGATTAACAAAGTGCAAAGCAGCAAATGCTGTTTTCTAACAACTGGAAGTATCCTTGCTGTACAAAAGACACTAGGCATGAAAATCTGCTGTCAAGCTCAAAGTTTAAGGGGTGAGAGGAGGATGATTACCAGCGTGCTGCTGGTCACTAGGCGTTCCAGACTTGGCAAGAACTTCGAGGTCGACAAGGCTCATAGACATGAGTCCCAAGGTGAGGCCGGACATTAACCCAGCAAACAGCACCAGAGCAATGACAACAACGATGTGAATGAGGAAGGCCGTTCCGCAGCATTCATATTCTACTGCCATTCTTCAGTTCTATGGTTTTTCTCTTTGTTGCCTGATCGGATCTCCTTTGTTGTGAATAGACGGTTGCAAAGGTAGAGGTATGGGAACGAATTTATTCTAAGGAACAGAATAAGATCAGATTCTGAGTCTTTTTCTTTGTTGCATTGTCGACAGAATCATCTCGAATTCGCTTCTTTTTCCTTCCTTCTAGAGGAAGTTTAAATTAATGCCT